GGGATTCCCTGGCATACGTTTAAGTAAGTGTAATTAGCGCGTCTCTCACTCACGGTACTCGATATGATTGATTCGTTTTAACGACTCGCTATCTCGGGAACGAAGAGTCGTCTCTCGATGCTCCTCGAAGGAAAAAGAAAGGATGGCCGCGGGCAGAGCTGCGATAACGACGCCACTTCAACCCGCCAGACGATTCGAGGATACGTTTAAGTCAGGCGAAAGGCAACGTAGATCGCGCTTCGCGTTTATTAGTATTTATTAATTAATGCATTAGTTACGCTATAAGACTAGATTCTCGGCGGGGTATCTTACGTTGTCTGCAGCACCTTTTAACCCTTTGCAGTTATCTTTAAAGGTAAGGATATTCGTTCACGACACGATGTACGAATTAAAAAAAAAAAAAAATGAAAGAGACGAAGGAATGTTAGTAGAAATCGAAAGTTAATTAAATAAACGTTATTGACGATCGATTAGGAAATGTAGAGGCCTTAACGAGAATACGATTAATAAAATAATTCTCTTATTTAGTCGACGTAAGATCGCAAAGGGTTAACGTGCGTGGCCCACGTCGACGCGCCTCCACGCTTTTCAACGCCGACTCGAGCGTCTTTTCTCTTTTTTTCATTGTGTTCATCGGCATTACATCACTATATCCCACGCTTGACATGCTAACACACAACTTACAGATACATACATACTTAGACACGTAGTCCTTAAATGCCTATATAAGATAGAGCGACCCTTCAGGGATCCGTTGGTTTATAGATCGGATTGCTGCGATTCCTGCGCGCCTTGGCTGTTCGCCTTAAGATTTAATCGTTTCGTTTAACTCGATGATCTTTTACATACAGGCAACCCACGTTAAGGAAAATTGTTTCCTACGTTGTTATCAAGCTATCGAACTTTGACAGTGTTCTCCTATACAAGACTCGGTAGTCTTCATATAGAATTTATTCGTGATACAAGCGAAGAAATTGCACATTCGTTATAAGAATATACATCCGTATAACAGGGGTTAGCTCAGTCAGATATCAACTAAGTTCATTTATTTCTTTTATGTACCAACGAATAGCTGGCGAATTCCATCGTATTTTTAAAGGAAAATCATTTCACGAAAATTCTTCCTTTCTTAAGTATCCATTCCTATCGACCTTGATAAGAGTAAAAAATGATTAGTCTCGGACATGGGTTTGCCTGTTGGATGATCTTTGACGATCGCAGGGAAGAATGAGGCGTGCGATTGGATTCGCAAGTGGAAATCAAATCAGTGCGGAAGAACGAAGGCTATAAGGTGTGCGTGTACTTTGCATTTGCATATCTCTCTAATCCATTCATTCATATTCTCTCATACAGATTCATTCCATTCCAGTCTCTCTTTCTCTCTGGGTGTAAACGTGTATTTGTATATGTATAGACGAACATGGACGAGGGACGCGTCTCTACGATGTAACTAACGATGGCACAGATGCGATTACGCTCGCATTCACGCGGGGAAGCACGTGCCTTGACTCGCGACGCGTTTAAAACGAGCACTCGCGATCGGTGGCACGTACGAGGACAATTGCGGAATCCAATCGATGGGTTGAATGGTAATTAAAAGCGATACCGGAGCAGCGTCTCGGGCCGGTGCGAGCTCGTCTAGGAGATTAGCGTTTCCCACTTCGCAGCTCGCAAATCTTCTAATAATCTACATGGCTCGGCTTTCCTTAACTTGTTAAGCAGGTCATTTCTTGGGAATTAATTCTGTTTAACCATGTTACGCGTGTTTGCGTTTATATATAGCGATCTCGTTCTCGCTTCAACAACGCGGAAAGATTCGCAATATTTTCAGAAAAGTTTCAACGAGTGAAACGAGCGAAACACTGACGGCCATTGACGGTCGTAATTAATTAATTGCGCCGTTGGTTTTGCAACGCGGCTCCCCTTTCCGATTGTATCGCGTTAATTAAAGTATTTCTGTTTAGCAATCGAAAAAAAATGGAACTTATCAGTAAGAATGGACTCATCGTGTTTTTCCCATGTAATCTTCGAATATAAATGTGACGTAACTTATTTTTAGCAGAAACGATACGACGCATTAAAAGACAGAATATTTATAAATCGAAAGATCGTTACGTTCCAGAAAATTGAGTCTGCTCGAACTCTCCGATTAACAAGTTAAGGAGGTTTCAGAATACGTTGTTTCATCGTTGGACGAAACTCTGATTTTTCCATGGTTTTTAGATAAGTCTATATATGCGTGCGCGTATGTGTATGTGTACGTGTGCGCGTGTGTGTATGTGTGGAAAATTACAGGTTAAAGTACGCATGGCAAATAGGTGATTCGCGTGAAGAGAGCGATTCGGTAAGGTCCGTACAAAACGAGGAGGATTAGAATAGACGGGAAACGCCGATAGGTAGAAAGGTGCACGCGGCCCGTGCTCGCGTTTTCGCTCGGCTCCGTCGAGCGATTAGATATGCGAGTTAGTTTGCTCTATGGAGTTTTTGCCATACAAATGTAACTTCGTAATCTGTTACAGTTCATAATTAACATGCGCTAGGTCGCGATATATATATATATATATATATATAATATATATATGTACACAGTCTTACAAAGCAAAATTTACAAACATTATGACGTACGGACGATCGAATAAATATTACGTTTCCCCCGATGTAGATTGGAAAAAGAGTAAATGGCCCTGTGCCCGACGATCGTTCATTCCGATATCGATCTCGGCCCACGACTGGAATTTACGGTCGGGAAGACTCGAGCGCTAGCGAATACTTGGAAATAAAACGGGTAAAATAGCAGAAAAACCTTGAGGGAAAAACATCAGGAGAAGCTTTATCTTTATCGTTAGGAACCGACGATAGATAGAGCACGGATGAACACAAAAGGTATGGAAAGACGACTAAAAAAGACGAGGCATTCGTGCGGTTTGAACGTCGCTATCGAAGCCGAGGATCGATTTCGAGACAAAAGAGTCGGTTTTTGTCCGGCCACTTTTTGGTGAATGCCCTGTCGCGTGGCAGGAACGAGGGAAAGAGGTTTGTTCGATTGGCGTGAGGGAAGGGCTTGAGCGAGAGATCGATAGTGCACGGAGGCGGAAGCGAGGATCGGCGGTCGATTGATCGTCGAGGAGAGAGAAGGAAAAGCTGGTCGAATCGAGCGCGCGATCTACCTACACCACCCCGGCCACCGGCGATCGCATCTTTAAAGCCTCTGCGTGTGTGTATATGTGTGTGTGTGTGTATATATATACGAATGTTCGTGTGCTCTCGCGCGTGTATCATTCCTTGCGTACACCGTATTGCAAGCAGAAGTCGCGCGTATTGTACGATTCGCGATAATTCGCGTTGGAAATACGCGCGCCTCTTACAGCTTGCACCTGCTTCTCTCGCGTCTATCTTTTTCTCTCTTTGCCCATATGTATCTGTGTATGTATGTCTGTATAACGTGTCTCGTGTTCATGCGTTTGCGCGATACTCTTGATGTGCTGCTAGGAAGCTGACTAGATTATAGCCTAGAATACGAAACGTCCGGAGCGTCGTTCGAACGGCGC